TCAGATGGCAAATGAGCTGGGAGGGCCAGTGCTCCTCCTGGCTGAGAGCTCCAGGAGCAGCCAAGAAGAGCACAAGGCTGGCCCTGGCCTGGGTCTGCGGCCCACAGCCACCTCGAGGGCCTTTGGGCTGGGCCCAGGGAAAGCTGGGTATCCTTGTGGCCAAGTCTATGAACTCATTTTGTAATTAATTATTTTGGAGACGGGGTCTCAGTAAACTGGCCAGGTGGAGCTAGGATCTGTGATCTTCCGACCTCGGCTTCCCAGAGTTCTGGGATTCTAGGCGCACTCCACTCTGCTCAGCTTCCATAAACTTTCTTGGGGGAAATGGGTCCAGGACTTTTTGGCTCCATTTAGGCTGTGAAAGAGTTAGATGAGAGACCTTACTTCCTGTTACTCACAAATTCTTCGCATTCTGTGGGTGTCGTGAAGGGAATTTAAGGAGTCTATTGAAGTAGTTGGGACCCTCACAATACAAAAGAAAGAGGATTTGAATGTTCAGCCGTATTAAACTTCCACAGCAGGCTTGGAAGCCTTAGAACTGGAAAAAGCACCATTTAAATCCTAGCATTGTTGCTCACTAGCTGAAAGATGCAGGCGAGTGACTCAACCTCTCTGAACTGCAGTTTCCCCACCTATGAAACAGGGATTATAACAATGACTTGACACTTGTCATGCTGATTAAATAGTGCTGATAAGGAACTTGGGATAATACCAGGCACATAAGCAATAATGAAATGGTTCCATTATTATTTCATTTGCTATAGCTCACTTGTAATAAAAAATTAGAGCAACTTAAAGTTTGTCAATGGAGAATTGGCTAAGATGCTCCATCCATATAGACAGTAGGATGCTGGACAGCCATTAAAAATGATGATGCGAGTTTATACTTGTGATGCAAGAAATTGTGCATGGATTCATTATTTAGTAGGAAAAAGCAGGTTACAGCCATTATATATGCTATGACCTGATTTTATGTTTAAATGCATGTTAGTGTAAGTTTATATAAATGTATATACATGTGCCCGGGAAGATGTTTGGAGTGAGATTCACTATGCCATTAACTGTGTTGATTGCTGCATGGTGGGAACATAGGCAGGCTTTTGTTGTTGTTGTTCTTGTTCTTGTTATGTTTGACAGTGTTTTAATTCTTTAAAATAATGACCACTGTGACATGTATAACAAACAATAATAACAGAGAAAAAGATAAAAATGTGTGGTCTACAGAAAGAAAGAGCTGTAGGTAAGATTTGTCAACACCAAGCAGAAGGAAAAAGGAAACAGACTCAGCATTCAAGAAGCTGAGGCAGGAGGATTGCTATGAGTTCGAGGCCAGTCTGGGCTGCATAGTGAGTTCAATGCTGCTCTAAACTGCATAGCAAGACCCTGTCTCAAAAAAAAAAGCAAAAAGATTAATTTTTTTCCATCGGAAATGAAGCTTTATCTGAGTTTGTTAGTGTGATAAATATATATGGTGTAACATTTACCATTTTAACACTTCTTAAGTAACAGTTCAGTGGCATTGAATACACTCATGTTGTTATGCACCAATCACCCATTTCTGGAATTTTTTTCATCATTTCAAACTGAAACTGTACTCTGAATAACTCTTGGCAATCACTATTCTATTTTCTGTTTCAGAGACTTTGACTACCCTTGGTACCTAATATAAATGGAATCACGTAATAATATCTGTCTTTCTGTGGCTGGCTTGTTTCCCTTAGGAGAATGTCTCCAAGGCTTATCCATATTGTGTCAGAGTTTTCTTCCTTTATGTATACGCATGAGTAGGCCACATTTTGTTTATCCATTTGCCCACTGATAGACCCTTGGATCGTTTCTACCTCTTGGCTACTGTGAATGGTGCTGCTGTGACTATAGATGCGTTATCCAGCTTTAATTGGAGGTCATCATACATGAATCTGCATCTGGTCTTTCCAACTGCTGATTAGATTGAGATTCAACGAACATTTAATAAGCAGATATTGCGCTCCAGGAACTAGGCGAAGGACTTTCAATTTCCTACTTTCCAGAAGTCCTGGAAACATCCCTCGAAGCAAAGTATGCGCCGTAACCCCCACTTTATAGATGACACTCAGGCCAAGTCACAGTCCACAAACCCTGTGCCAGACAGAGTGACCCCAGGGTCTCAGAGACCGTTTTCCCCTTCCACACATTTATCTCCCCAGGCTGCTGACAGAATAGCCCCGCTGGGACACAGCTGACTCATGAGAGAGGAAAAAAGATGATAGATCATGAGCTAGCCAGCTGCGTGTGTGTGTGTGTGTGTGTGCGTGTGCGTGTGTGTGTGTGTGTGTGTGTGTGTGTGTGAGACTATGGGGGTGTATGTTTCTTATTGGATGATGAACCCCAGGGCCATGCACTGAACTACAACCCCAGGTTTTCTTTTGTTTTGTTTTGAGACAGGGTCTCACTATGTAGTTCAGGCTGGCCTTGAACTCTTGGTGATCCTCCTGCTTCAGCCTCCCAAGTGCTGGGAATACAGGTGTGTGCCACCATGCCTGGTAAGTGGGGGCTGGTGACCCAGTAGGTAGGGGTCTGAGGTTGGGCGTGGTAGGATGAATGGCGCCCTTGGGCCCCCTAACTCCCCAGAGTGCCATGGCTGTCTCTCCCTTGTCATCTAGAAGCAGCAGTGGGCGTTCTCCTTGATAGCCTAGTGAACAGGCCCATTCGGCCTGAGGGGAAATGGAAGGAGATGGGAGCAACTGTGCACAGCGGATATAATCTGAGAAAGGCTAAGTTTGTTTTTTCTTCTGGGAAATACAATTATGACTATTTACATTTTTGATCCTTTGTTTTTGGATTTGGTGCTAGGAATTAAGCCAGGGCCTTAAGATTGCTAAACATGAGTTCTACCACTGAGCTACACTCCTGGCTATTTAGATGTTTGGGGTTTGAGTTTGGTTTGGTTTGGTTAAGACAAGATCTCATTATGGTATGCAGTGCAGGCTGGACTTGAATTCACTATGTAGCCTACGCTGGCCTCCAACTCATGGTAATCCTCCTGCCTCGGCCTCCCAAGTGCTGGGCTTGTAGGTGTGTGCTACCACACCTGGCTTCAGATTTTTCTTTTAAAATTATTTTCAGGACTACATTGAGCATCTAGCAGCCTGAAATTAGAAAACATTTATTAAAGATGAATATGTTCAAGCTGGGCACAATGACTCAGGCCTGTATACCCGGTTACCTGGCCAGATGAGGACAGAGGATTGCGAGTTCCAAGCGAACCTGGGCAACTAGGTCTCAATAACAATAATAATATCGTTTGAAGAGTCACAGCTCTTGATAATCTTTCCAGAGTTTTTCTACTCTGAACCCATCGCAGGTGTTCAGTGTGTTGGGGACCCACTGTTTACTCAATGGCAAGATGCTATGCACACAGTAGAGAACAAGACCCAAACACAGTCCTTACAGTGTCTGCCAGGCAACAAAGAAAGACAGTGAGTGAGTGATTTCCCAAGAATCTGAGAGTGGTTAAGTGATTGTTACCAAAATTTCCAGTGATGAAGTGGTTGTATTTTAAACATAATGTTTAAAAAGCATTGAATTCAGATCTAAATTCAAAATCCTGGTTCTATCACCTAGTGGTGTGGCCTACACCCAACCCCAGACAAATTACCAGCCCTCTTGACCTCAGTCTTGCTCTCTGTAAAATGGGTCCCTGTAAATTAACTGAAATGAAGCATGTTGTAGTGGACTGGTAACTGGTGGTCAACTTAAACGCCAGCTGAACTGAATCAGTGTGATGCTGAGAATGGATGGGTCCACCTGAGGAAAGTTGCCAGCATAAAAAGCAGACTTGGAGAGGAAAGAATGACGTTGTAGGTTCTCCTAAGTGTTGTTTTTGGAACTGTTGGCTCTTCTGGAGGAGTTTGTGCAGTTTCTTCCCTGATATGAATTCAGCCCTTATCATTGGAAGAGCAAATCCTTCTCGTGGCAAAGGGCTCATATTTCTCCAGACATAGAGACTGCATAGGCTCTTGGATGGTTTGAAAAAAAAAATCACTTATTCATAAACTTCTCAGGTTTAAAAATATGGTAATAAAGTCATTTTCATCCCTTGAATTAATGATCTCTTCAGTCACTCCTTCAGTAAGAAGTCCTCACCCTCCTGCAAAGTAGTTCTCAAAACCTGCCTGCAGACCACGCACCTTAGCATCCTGTGCTCCACAGGTCTGGTTCCAATGGATGCTCATGTCTGGCGCATGCTCAGCTTCACTTTTAATTAGCTCCCCAGTTAATTCCTTAGGAAAGCAATGGTTAAGAAATACTATGCATCCACTCACATCATGTGCTCAGAAATGTTACCGTCCCTTCGTTTATTGCCCCTGAGATTAGATTACAGTTCAGTCAGTCGGGCGACTGACTCCCCTGTGACTTCGCCATTATTTACTGTAAGAACTAAAATTACTCACCCCTGTGATCCCATGGTCCTAACAATACCAGCGGTCAAATGCTGCCTAAACTGAAGTGTAACAGAACAGTACAAGAATACAGAAAAAGAATGAGGCTTTTCTTATGCTACAATGGACTAAACTCTAAAATATGTAAAGTGAAAAAAAGATCAGCATGCAACAATGTGTTTAGTCTACTAGTGTTTATGTAAAAAAAGAAGCTCACTCGAGCACACAAAACGCACATGTATATTTATATATTGAATCTCTATATGCAAATCCCTGGAAGAATGCACAGGGAACTGGGATGGGAAGGAGCTGTGGTTACCTCTGGGGATCTGGGGTGAGCGGGACATGAGTCAGGCAAAGACTTTTCACAATGCTGTACACCCACCCCAGCTTTGGAATCTTGAGCCATCTGAGTACATTCCTACAGCAAACATAAATTACGCTCCAACGTGAGCGGCCTGCGTGCACAGTCTCTAGGCGTCTTCACGTGTGTGGGCCTCGTTCTCCACGCAGCCCCATGGCTCAGCGTTCCCAGACTGTCATTTCCTCTGAAGCTCTCCTTCCCTGTCAATCACTGACCTTGTCTGTCGATGTCCGCTCCCGGCCGGCAGGAAGGACACACGACAAAGTCTGGCAGTGGACAACCTTTTCTTTTTATTTTTCTTCTCCGTACAGCCTGCCCTGGGATCGCTCCCAGCCGAAGCCTCCTCTGGTCCGCTCCCCGCGGCTCCTTCTGGGCTTCTACTTCCGGGCTTCTTCTTCCCCCCCAGGGGTGGCACCAGTATATATACGGATACAGTGTCCAATCATGTTAAAGTGAGCAAGGCAAGCTGATTGGCTAACATCATCAGTTGCCAGGCAGACTATATTGTTGAGCGGGTTGCTTAAGCAGGAAACTAACGTGCTCGATGGGAGGGGTAATCTACCTCAGGCTTTACTCTTTACTACAGGCCTCACGTCCGCCAAGTGAGGCGACCGGGCTCGGGGCTGCGGCTCCCAACACTTGTCCAGTACAGGCATATTTTGATCCGACTGTTAAACTAGACAACTGCTCCGCCACTTAGCATTCCAGTCCAGAGGCAGCCAGAGCACATTCGCAAAAGATGTCAGGATTTCAGACTCTGGCGAGAAGCAAGAGGTCAGCGTGCTTATGTAAGTCAACACTGCTTCTCACCCGGGACGTGCTCAGGAAGGCAAGCTGCACATTCAGCCAACTGCTCCGCCTGCAGCATGACTTGCAAGGGGCCAGAGGCAGCTTGGGGGAAGTCACCAAGGCAGGAACCGAGTCCCAGGCCTGCTGGGGACCTTGATCCACCCTATGCTTATGTGAAAAAGAGATGTCTATTATTAAGGACAACATAAGAATAACATACGGTCCAGCTGTTCCACTTGGAAGTGTCTACACAAGAGAAAAAGGAGAGATGCGGGTCCTCACAAGCTTTTGTATAGGAAAATTCATGGCAGTGCCATTGAGAGTTGAGGCAAGAAGACTACCATTATTTCAAGTAGTGAGTTCAAAGGCCAGCCTGGACTACCTAGTCAGAATTTATCTTTAAAAAAAATCATGGCAGATTTATTTGTAATAATCCCAAACTAGAAACAAATCCATCAATAAGTAGATAAACAAATTATGGCACATCTATATAATAGAATAATCCTCAGCAAAAAAAAAAAAAATTGATACAACATGGATGATTCTAAAAATAATTATGTAGTATAAAAAATTCAGATAAAAAAGAGTACACGGCCATGTGACTATTGATACAAAACCCTAGAACTGTAACATGGTCTACAGTGACAGGAAATAAAATCAGTGGTTGCTCGAGGACGAGGAGACAAGGACAAGCAAAAAAGCCAGCAGCAAACTCTCAGAGGCGATGGATGTGGCCATTAGGGTTGGAGATGTAGCTCAGCAGCACAGCACTTGCCTCGAAAGCTTGAGGCCCTGAGTTCAAGCCCAAGCACAAAAAATGGGTGGTAAGCAATCTTACAGCAGCATGTAAAACTCAAGAGACAAGTTTCACTTTTAAGGTTGATGGAAATGTTCTGCATCTTAATTGTGGCAGTAGTTACACAACTGTATGCATTTATTTATTATTCATTAGTTTTTCTTTTATTTGTGTTTATTTGTTTGTTTGTTTGTTTGTTTGAGACAGGGTCTTGCTATGTAATTCAGGCTGGCCTTCAACTCACAGTGTAGCCCAGGCTGGCCTCCATCTTGTGGCAGCCTCCTGAGTGCTGGGGTTACAGAGGTGTGCTATCATGTCTGGCTGGTATGCATTTGTTAAAGCTCTTTAACTTGTATGCTTAAAACCAGTGGGTTTTGCTGACTATAAATCATGCCTCAATGAAGCCGATCATATGAGAAACAGGACACACACAAAATGTGTGCACACACCTATGTGGAGAGCAGGTTAGGGAGCCTGGGACTAGAAAACCTGGTATCCACCTGCCACACTCTGAAGATGGCCTCCCTCCTCTCATCTGTCTCCTCTATGCTCTGTATGTCTGTATCATTCTTTCTCTGATCTTCCCCACCGAATGATTCCTTTCCAGCGTTCTGCCATATATCTCAAGGCCCAACTAACAGAATAAGAAAGGAACCACCTTCTAATTTTGGGTTACATGTTGGGCCTTTATTTATTTATTCAAAAGCTAGTGAGCAAGCATTGTGCTAGGCCCTGGGAGGCAACTTACAGCCTAGTGAGGAGGCAATAAACAAATAATACTCTCAGCTCGCATTGTGACAAGCCTTTAAAAGGACTAAAACAAGAGCAAGGAGATGGAGAGTGAGTGGGAGTGGAGGTTATTTAGTGAAGTGGCCAGGTATAGTCACGGAGGTGGAACAGACTCGAGGGAGTCAGCTGTCCTGAGAGCAGGGTGAAGGAAGTTAGCTCCAGGGTGGAGTCAGAGCAGGTGTGAGGGTCAGGGGTGGTGTGAGGCCAGTCTGGCCCCAGCTCCAGGAAAGGGGAACAGGAGGTCATGAGGCCCTTCTAGGGCAGGGACAGGAACCTGAACTCTAAGCCCTGGGCCTTGGAAAGCCACCTGAGCAACTAAGAAAAGGAGACGAAGGTTTTTCTTAAGGTTCCCTCTGCCTTTACTAGAAGAATAGATGGTAGGGGGCAAGGGGAAGCGGAGAACCAATAGAAAGCTACCACTGTCGCACATGTGGAAGGGAAGCCAACAGGGTTTGCTGCTGAACTGGACGCTGGTGAAAAAGAGAGAGAGGGAAGAAGAGGGCCAAAGAAAGAAGGAGTAAGATAAACATAGCAGGGGCAAAGCCCCACTTACTGACAAGACGTCTCCACTGAGATCGCAGGGCGGAAGGTGGGAGCAGGGGTCAGCAGTCAGAGTAGCAGGAGCTGGTTTCAGACTCCTCAATGGGCCTCTGTAATTCCATCCGGAAGGTGAGAAGATTCGAGGAGTTTCAGAGGTTTTCTGCAGGAGCAGAAACCCCTATAGCATACTGACATTTAGAGGAGGGGGCCAGGGAATACAGGATGACTCACAGGAGAATGTCCTCTGTGGCACTTCCAAATGTCCCACTGGGCACTTACAAAGATGAAAAAGCCTGTAAAACGATCTGAGCCTGGAATCCAACTCCATTTTGCGCACAAGCGTGGTTGTTAAAAATACTTCCCAGGAATGCAACTCCAGGGAAATCAAGGCATTTGATCTGTTTGGAAATTGGCTCCAGAATTTATTTTAGGACTGGCAGTATAGCTCATTAGGACTGGTGGTGTAGTTAAGCACTTGTTAGCATTCAAGAGGTCCTGGGTTTGTTTTCCAGCACCAGAAAAATAAATAAATAATGTCATCAACATAATGTATTTATTTTTGTTTTTCAGAGACAGGGTCTCACTATGTAGTTCACGCTGGCTTAAAAACTCACAATATAACCCAGGCTTCTCTCAAACTTTTGGTGATCCTCCTGCCTCAGCCTCTGAGTGTAGGGATTACAGGCATGTGCCACTATGCCTCACTCAGAAAATCTTTCTTAAGGAAATATTTTAATATATTTATTGTGCTAAAATACACATAAACTTCATCATTTTAACTATTTAAAAGAGTCCAGTTCAGTGGCACTTAGCACATCCCCACTGTTGTACAATATCACCACCCTGTAGTTCCAGAATACTTCATAAGCCCAAAGGAAATCCCACATCCACCAGTCCCCTGGTCTCTGGCAACCCTTAATCTGTTTTCTGTCTCTGAGTTTGCCTATTTGGGGATTTCATAGAAAAGGAATCACACAACCTGCGATCTGTGACTGGCGTTTTGCAAATCAGCATAAGGTTTTTAAGGTTAAGTTGGGTTATAGCATATATCAGTAATGCATTCCTTTTAAAATTTTTTTTAATTGGGGCCGGGGTTTAGCTCAGTGGCATAAGTCCCTGCTTGGTAAACACAAGGTTGTGAGTTCGATCCTCAGGACCAAAAAAAAATTTTTTTTAATTGAAGTAAAATTTATGTAACAAAATCCAGCATTTCAAAATGCACTATTCAATGAGATTTAGTATCTTCATAGTGTTACACAACTCATTCTACTTCCAAAATATTTTTATTAACCCAAAAATAAACCCTGGGCCCACTGAGCAGCTAATTCCCATCATCCCCTCTCCTCAGTTCTAAGCAACAACCAGTCTATCTACTTTCTGTCTCTATTCTGAATATTTCATATAAATGGAATTATACATCATGTGATGATTTTATGTCTGGATTCTTTCACTTTAAAAAATCATTAAAAAAAAAAACTCTCCTGAGATTTTTTTTTTCTCCTGAGATTTTTAAATTTCATCCATGTTGCAGTGTATTATCAGCCAGGCCCATACCTTTTAATGGCTAAGCAATATTTCACTGTATGGATATACAACATTTTGTCACTTGCTTATAGACAATCATTCCTACCTTTTGGTTATGTGGACAGTACTACAGTGGACATTCATGTGCAAATTTTTTTGAGTATGTTTTTAATTCTTTAGGTATACACCTAGGAGGGTAATTGCTGGGATGATTTTGTGTTTAACTAATTGGGGAACTGCCGAAGTGTTTTCACAGAAGCTACACCATTTTACAGTCCCACAGAAATATCCCAATTTCTTCATCTCCACATTCTCACCAATATTTTTTGGTTTTTATCACAATCACTAGTGTGTATGGAGTGGATCCTCTTGTGGTTTTACTTGCATTTTCCTAATGACTAGCAACATTGAGCATTTTTTCATTTTCTTGCTGATGATTTACACACCTTCTTTGGAGAAATGTCTGTTCAAGTCTACCCACTTTTAAATTAGATTGTCTCTTCGGTTGTGAACTGTGCCTAAGGAAATAATTTTAAATTTGAAAGATTATGTAAACAAATCACAGTTTATTTGCAACAGTGAAAAGATGGGAAATCCACTAACTCTGAAGATAGAATGTACAAACACAGTCCCAGCCCTCAAGGGACATTCTTTCTAGATGAGAAGACACAAGAGTAACAAGAAATCCAGCAAGTCCCTGCCCAGTTTATGCCAGAGCTGATGGGGGTGGGCGCGGCAGACAGAGACACGCGAGGGTCAGAGCTGCAAGGGTGATGCCATTGGGGAACTACAAACAGTTTGTTGGGCTGTGGAATAAGGGTTAGTGTAGAAAGAGAGAAAGGACACAGAGCAGGAAGAATGTTGTATACTAAACATTTACCTGAAAGCTCAGGGAGCTTGAGAAGATGGCATGATCAACTTTATATTTTGGAAAGCTCAGTCGAACTCACCAATACTATACAGTGCCATTAGAACAGGTCGGCAATTGTGTGGGATCCCTGTATTAGAGCTCCTGCCTGTGAGAAGTTTTGGACAACTATAACAATATACCATGAAGCAGATGGCTTATAAACAACAGAAATTTATTGCATAAATCTGGAGGCTGCCCAGATCAAGATGTTGACAGGCACAGTGTCTGGTGAAGGTCCATTTCCTGTTTCACTGACAATGTCTTCTATCTGTGCCTTCTATAGTGGAAGAGCACTAACCCCAATCCTAATCATCACCAGATCACCTCTCAGGGGCCTTGC